AGCCCGCTGGCCCGCCAGCCCGCCCAGTTCACACTGTTAGCCCGCTATACTGCTAGCCCGCCCAGTTCACACTGTTAGCCCGCTAGACTGCTAGCCCGCCCAGTTCACACTGTTAGCCCGCTAGACTGCTAGCCCGCTCAGTTCATACTGTTAGTCCGCTAGACTGCTAGCCCGTTAGCCCGCGTACTTCACGGACATTTTTCTCGAATAGCTCTGTAGATAGAGCGCGGGACTTATAATCTCGATGTTGTGGGTTCGATCATGCTTTTTGTATTATTGTAAATTACTTGTTTCTTTTATGAAAAATTGTAAAATTTGTTGCTGCGTTATCTTCTCAACTTCTCAACATAACAATCAAACATTGATCGCAGAATTCCAAGAAAAGATGTATTACATCAACACTTCGCGTATGAACAACTTATTTGAATATGTTTCAATGACTTGTATATATTTGTTTATTCTCTTTTTTTCCTTGACAAACTATTTAAACTGAAATAAAGTAATTTTAGTATAACTTTGAAGATTTGATACAATAACAAGAACTCGACTTTTGTTTTGTATGAATAATTGATAATGAAGCCAATTAAGTTTCCACTTCATAACGAAAGCAGAAAATCGATCCAATTCTCCTGCCAATTAATTAGTAGAGGTGGAATTGTTGCAAGCCGTATAGGTATATATAGTACAAAAATATACATTCTCATATAATATTCAAACTTTCTTTTTACCTTTTTTACCTTCAAAGGAAAACAAAATTAAAAGCATAGCTTCTCTTAATGTAAGTACATGTAAATTATCTGCATTAAAAATGAAATTTAATTGATAATAAAGGACTGGAAAACACTACCCCTATTTAGAATTTACAATAAACAACATCAATAAACATATTTAATAAAATTAATATGTAAAACATTTCTAGGCATAACAACAATTGTTGTTTTTTTTTTTTTTTTTTTTTTTTTTTTTTGTTGTTGTTTTTTCAACTGATTCATGAATTTACAACGTCAATTTTTAGTACAGATTATTATTGATTATAATTGTTTCAACTTGTATATAAAACAACAATAAACTCCACTGAGGTCCAAAGCCTAAAAATATGAAATTTGAATTTTTTACATAGATCAGTTTAAGCACTTATGCACATTGTATTGTATTGTATTGCAAAACTAAATTGAAAATCGTACTTTGTGATATTTTAACCATATTTGAGCGAAAAGCGTTGAAACGTATTTCAATTTTGAATCATGTTTCACAATTAGAATAATAATTCTGGAAAAAAAAACAGAATAAGTGAATGTTCTGAAACTTTAGATTCATAGTTATCAGTCATGGGCCTACACCTACATCTACACATACATCTTCATCACATAGAACATTGACCTCGAAAAATTATTTCAAGTCCCGTCATATCAATAAAAACCTCAGTGGAATCACTTTAAGTAACTTTTCATTACATCCATTTTATATCAGTCAAAATAGTACTGGTAAATTTATCTGAGTTATTTGCATGGGTCCCATTACCAATGCTAGTAAGAAAGAGATTGTTCTTGTGTTATATTTAAAGGCTCATTATATGAATTAGTATTGTGTATGGAAGTCAAAATACTTCTTTCTTTACATTTTGCTACCGTTTAACACATTACTGCACAATAAGTGCTACTTTCTTCACTTGTTAAACATCTATCATTTACTCTAAATGCATTATCAAAACATATTTGAAACATATTTGACATTTTTAAAGAACTGAAAATAAAAAGGATTTTTGGGGCATAATGTGCCTTTAAAGTATATACTTGTGTATGTATACGTGTAAGATTTGATGCAATCTGATCAGATTATTGATTCTAGCATAACATTTCTTTTGAACATTGGTATTTACGCATGGGTTAGTTCTTGATATCATCAGCGCTTGTGTTCATTTTCGGAAGTAATCAAAGAGAGATGTTGTCGATGAATGAAATAACATGGTCAATTATTGTTGCCCTTCGAGAAATTCCTTTCATTTCAGATGTGTAAATAGGTTTGTAAATAGTAAAACATGTTTGTATAAAACTGAAATGACAATCAGCAACGGTTTAAAACTCTTTAATATGCGACTCCTGTATACATTCTGCTGCGTTAAAATTCTAATGTGATGAACTCCCGTATACATTCTGTTATGTAAAACATTTAATGCGATGAACCCCCGTATACATTCTACTATGTAAAAAAATTTATGTGATGAACTCCCGTAAACATTCTGTTATGTAAAAAAATTAATGCGATGAACTCCCGTATACATTCTGCTATGTTAAAAATTTAATGCGATGAACTTTCGTATACATTCTACTATGTAAAAAGTTTAAAGTGATGAACTCCCGTTTACATTCTGCTATGTAAAAAATTTAATGTGATGAACTCCCGTATACATTCTGCTATGTTAAAAATTGAATGCGATGAACTCCCGTATACATTCTGCTATGTAAAAAAATTAATGTGATGAACTCCCGTATACATTCTCCTATGTTAAAAATTTTAATGTGATGAACTCCTGTATACATTCTGCTATGTTAAAAATTGAATGCGATGAACTCCCGTATATATTCTACTATGTAAAAAATTTAATGTGATGAACTCCCGTATACATTCTGCTATGTAAAAAAATTAATGTGATGAACTCCCGTATACATTCTGCTATGTTAAAACTTTAATGTGATGCACTCCTGTATGCGTTTTATTTTACAATTTAGTGGGCATATGGATACGTTTATCTAAAATGCACGTGCTTGTTATAAGGTGGCTCACTAAAAAACTCTTTTATATTATACATGATGTACAAGTAACTACCAATGTGCGTGTCAGCAAAATATCTACTATAGATATGAGATATGTGCTTATATAAAACAAGCATTTCCTTACCTAGATTTTATATAATTAAATTCTTAAAGCACAAGTCTGAGTGATAATAGCTTGTTTGCATGTCAGCAAGAATGTTTCAAAAGTCATAAATAATATTTGAAAATTGTATAAGCTGCTCCTAATGAGATTTAAACCGGACTAGCTTTTTAACTTCTAACAGTAGCATCTATTTCACTATTCTAGCAATCATCTTTGCAGACGCTTGTTTGCAGCTGGCGGTTATGTAATGTATTTTGTAGAAATTTTTCAACATTTCATCCTTCGGGAGCAAAAGACTTAAAACAGATAGTTGAAAATTACATAGTCATTTCATTGACTGTGTTCATGAGAGATACTGGAGACTTCAACATTTTCTCACAACCTTAGCAATATTAACATTATAAAGAAAGCAGGGAATAGCTGTTGGAAGGGAAACTTTCATTATGCCTATATACTGGAAGTTTCATCAAAATTGTCTGAACACTCCTTGCCAAGAAAACGTCAATGCCTTACAATGAGCGGCGTACTCTGATATTTTTCCAGCCACTTTGTATTAAAATACAGACGTAGGGAATGTATTACAAGCAATATACACAGCTAAAATGAACACAAATAAAATGATGTCAATGTGAGGCTTATATGTACTTTAACTTTTACATTCCTTTTCTAAAGTTCTCATGTTTGAGTGAGATTACATATTATTACCCCTCACCTTTTTCGTAATGTTAATTTCCCATAGGCCTCTGGGAGTTATTCTTACTGTGAATGCAGGTGTACCACATGACTAAGAATTTTCTACTGTTACATAGGTATTAGGTAACATTTTTTTTTAACAGTATAAAATCTGGTAACGTGGTCAATTTTCTAAATAAAATGAAATAAAATGGCCGCCATTTTTCTCTCGATTCATTCTTATTTTAGACGACAGGGCATCACCAAAGTAACTATGACTTTCATAAAATTTAGTTCTTTGCACCCTACAGTAGAGTTCTTTTCGCGTATAAAATATCTTTTTGTTGAATAGTCAAAAAGTAAACATCCGTTTTCAACGGAAGTAATTGTAATGTGAATAATTTTGTGTCAAACTGGAACATACAGACGATTAAAGCATGCAACAAAAAGCATGCAACAAAGGTTTATTTAACAATTTTAACCAGTGAAACAGACATCTGTTGGATAGCATCGTTATTTTGTAAATGCACTTTGTCAAAAACTATGCCAAGAATATTCTGGATACAGAAGGATCAGATTTCACAGATCATAACCTTATAAATGGGTTAGTGTTTTGTTTTCTAAATAAAACACAGCCTATTGTATGTTTATGACTGGTAAAAGGAAAACCGCTTCTCAAGTAGGCCTACAGTACACTTAAAACTTGCAAGGTAAGGACAGTTTAGTTATTGCTACTCTTGGTTTATTTTTGTAAGTTAGATTTAGTTGACAAATTCAGATCATCATAGTATTTGTTCGGGGTAATAAAATAAATAACATATGGGTTTGTGTGTAACAGTAAAAATATCATCCCTCGTGAAAATACTGTTACCCTCGGCTAAAAAGTAACAAGGTGTGTAATCTAGAAAAAAAATAGTTGTGTAAACAAGAAAATAACTAGTTGTGTAAACTAGAATAACTAGTAGTTTGAACTAGAACATGATAAGTATAAAATAAAAAAGACATTCGCATAAACTTCCTATAAACATCCTATTATTAAATAGAATAAATATTTGGCTTTGAGTTTCCCAAACAATTAAAAAAAAATATTGATGAGAATGTTACTATCCCTCAATCTGTCACGTTGACGTAAACTTGTCAACATAGTGATTTATGTGTGCCATTGCTAAAAGAAAACTGTATAAGTGAATATGCGTCCACCTCCTCGATTACATTTGTTCACATAGACTTTCAATGCCAACACATGGTAACCTTTGTTAAATGTTGTTTTAACGTGCATGGTCTGATTTTATACAATATTTTTAAAAAAAAAACACACACACAACACATATCTACACTTAAAAATGATCAATATTGCTATAAGTACATATAAGTAGTATAGGTACAAAAACCAAATTAATACTGCTGCGATAAAATCAAAACAAAAACAGAATAAGTAAAATTTACTTCACCTTATAGAATGCAGAATCCTTAATTCCATACAGTAAATTTTATTCTTTGAGCACAGACTAGCTCATTTATTGGAATGAAATCAACACCAGAAAAAGCAATCCGTTTTATTCTGCTGGGATGTCTCTGATCAATAATATTCCAACTGGTAAAACACCAAACTATTGTTAGATACTTGAATCTCGAAAACTGTTTCATCATTTTTATATCCCGGCTATATCATCTATTGATTCATTTCACATTGTTTATAGAGTTGCACTAAAATGTTATGGTATTATATGAATATTATCATTTAATCATAACAGGACTGGTGCCTGTATATACATTAGGAACACTGCTCCATTATTATCATGTAAATTAAAACGTTTGTATGTTTGCTTATATATTGATATTAAAGTCGGTTTACATTTCAATTTATAGAATTGGCAATAATCTTACTATGAACACGAGTCAATGATATATTTGTTACACAAGAGATTACTTTGTACACATCCTATATTCCATTGTTCAACGATATATAATCATTAAAAAATCGCAATGATGAGTAAAAACATGGAAATAAATAGTTCCCTTTTGTCTAGCTGGTCCACCATTAACGCAGGGATCGTTGGTTTTGGACTTTCCGGTTCACGACAACATTTGGAAGTAAAGCAATAGTTCTGATCAGGTCCAGAATGGAGATTCAGTGGAGATTTATATATGTTGCAAATGTTGCATGTAGTTCTGTTTTACAATATGTATATCAATATGAATAATTTAACAGTGAAAACGTTCAATTTAATACGCAAAAATATTTCAGTTTTACCAAACCAATTGAAAGCTTAGCATGTATTTAAAAAGATAGAGAGATAAATGTAAAAACGTTAATAAGGTTCATCTTTTTATTCATATAACATATGTAATGTAATATTTTTGTAAGAGATAATTTAAGGAGAATTCATTTTTAAAACAGTTAAATTAATAGATAAATACATGTGTATATTACTGTGTACATATTTTTATATATAAATAAATGAAAAAGCCCAGATCTAAAATTTCTCCAAAAAAGACGTTTTATTTTGCTTGTATTTGCTATGATGTTAAAGTAAACATGCATTCTACCAATTTAGAAATCAGAAGTCTAGACCAAGATTAACATATTTCTTTCATGCAGATAAATTACTAGTACATGTACGATCTATGTAAAGTTCAATCTCGAATCATTATCTTTCTTTTGAATGAAAACTAAACATTACAGAACTTCAATCAGATGTATATCAACAGTACTGAACGTGGGTGAGATGTACATGTACATCAATCGCAAATAACGTAAATTAGATTTCGTTAACCGATGAAGTGTATGTCAATCGTAAATAACGTAAATGAGATGTACATTAACCACACATAACGTGAACGAGATGTACATTAACCACACATAACGTGAATGAAGTGTACATCAACCACACATAACGTGAACGAGATGTACATTAACCACACAGAAAGTGAACACATAACGTGAACGAGATGTACATTAACCACACATGACGTGAACGAGATGTACATTACCCACACATAACGTGAATGAAGTGTACATCAACCACACATAACGTGAACGAGATGTACATTAACCACACAGAAAGTGAACACATAACGTGAACGAGATGTACATTAACCACACAGAACGTGAATGAAGTGTATATCAACCACACATAACGTGAACGAGATGTACATTTACAAATTAAAGTAATTAACGTTATTGACAGGAAACTAATCAGGGTACTTAAATAATGTCTTCTTTTACAAAACACTCCGAAACTGATATTAATACAACAATGTTGATTTCCAATGTTATTGTCGAAATATGTTTCATATTTACAAAAGTCACACACACACAAACAAAACACAGCAAAACACAAAAACAAAAAATGCTCAGTGTAAAGTGTCTTTTCCTTCGGGGCCAATTATTTTGAATTCTACAATTGAAAGTTCTCGTTAATTGTATTAGATTATTTTGTTTCATCAAAATAAGCCATTAGTATCGTAATTTCCCTGGTGTAATTTCAATATATTCTATCAATCTTATTTGCCATTGATTGACTGTATAAATATGATGATGTCATTTCGTGTAAATCAATAAAACAGAATGTTTGAATCGTGGAATAAAACAAAATCTTTAATAATTATAACATATTACTGGAGATAACTGAAAAAAATGTGACTTTACATTAATTTTCTCACATAATAGACAAACATGTGACTTTCTATAAGGACGGTAATAACTGGGTATAACGGTAATAACAGTGTATTACGGTAATAACAAGGTATAACGGTTATAACAAGGTTTAACGATTATAACAGTGTATAACGATAATAACAAGGTATAACGGTAATAACATGGTATAACGATTAAAACATGGTATAACGATAATAACAAGATATAACGATAATAACAGGAAATAACGGTAATAACAAGGTATAATGATAATAACAGTGTATAACGATAATAACAAGGTATAACGGTTATAACAAGGTATAACGATTATAACAGTGTATAACGGTAATAACAAGATATAACGATAATAACAGGAAATAACGGTAATAACAAGGTATAAGGATTAAAACAGGGTATAAAAATAATAACATGGTACTAGTATAACGATAATAACAGAGTATAACAGTAATAACAAGGTATAAAGATAATAACTGTGTATAACGATAATAACAGTGAATAACGGTAATAACAAGGTACAATGGTTATAACAGTGTTTAATGGTTATAATATGGTATAACGGTATTATCAAGGTATAACGATAATAACAGTGTAAAACGATAATTACAAGGTCAAATGGTAATAACAGTATATAACGGTAATTACAAGGTATAACGGTTATAACAAGGTATAACGATAATAACATGGTATAACGGTAATAACAGGGTATAACGGTTATAACAGTGTACTAGACTACCTTCTTCCGCGCTAAACTACCAAAGCATTTCCCGGGATCAAACCCACGCCAGAGAGGTAACTGGATTAGAAGTCATCGACTCTAACCTCTCACGGAGGCGGTTTAATATCAAGATATAACGGTTATAAAAGGGTATAACGCTAATAACAAGATATAATGGTAATACCATAAGCTTGATTCATTTAAACAAATATATTAAATGCTGTGGAAATATATTTGCAGGATCGCTCTTCAGCTCCCTAAAATCGTTTTTATTTTGACTTCCAAACGCATGCATATCATTTCTTAATACAAGAACCAATGTGTAGAGAGATACTCAAAATCTTTTTAATGCTGCTTTAAATGTCTTAAGCAATGTAAGAATAAAAATATGTTTGTAAAGGAGAGCCGATGGTGGTTCAAGTTTTACATGTCTTTAAAGCTCTGTTTTATACGAGTAATAACATTCATTTTTCACTTCCATATTAAACCCGCGATAACAGACTTATCTTTCAAATAAATGTTTAATTCAAGCTGACAAGATTCTGACAAGAATCTATAATTTGGCGCCGTTGTTCCACATCAAAGATCATGAGAGTCACATATTTTGTATTGAAAATATAAGCTCAATGTACAATTCTTTCAGACTGATAATAAGCAAGCTACACTAATTGCAAGATGACGATGAAAATAATTTTTTAACCATTTCAAATGTTCTCCAAACACTCATTTTCGTCCTCGTCGTTCAATATTACTGATGAATTTGATGTTTTGCAGGAATAACTAAGACCAAGATCTATATAATACAGAAGTAATTTCATGTAAGAACAACTTGATTTCCCTTGATTTTCTAATCTTGAGCAATAAACAGTTCCTAAATTAATCTCTGGAAATAGAAAGTATTAGATTAATGTCTGGTAAATAAAAGTTTCTCATCCTTACAGCACTATCATGTTTGATGTTCCTATGACAATCATGTCTGTCATTCTTTATTGCACATTTATAACGTTCCCTATTTGACGGTTTGATAAACACCGATTATATGCATAACAAAAGAAACAGCTAACGCCGAGATGTAAACTCATGATCATAACATTTTTTAATATTGCTAATTTACAGACATTTCCTGAAATAATACATTAAGATATTAGCAAAAAAGTAAATTTTAACGCGGGATCATCATGATCTGAATCCTTGCATAATTAGAGAAAGTTGTAAACGAAAAAAATCTATGGAAAAACCTTTCGGGGGGGTCACCATCCTTTTTAAGTTATCTACCCTGAAAATTGTTTTGAATGTTTGATGAAATGATAGATTTTTTTCCTCCACTTAAGCCCTTTTTGAAGAAAATGCAGCATATTTACTTATAGAAGCATAGAAGAAAAGTCTGTTAAAAAGAATTGTTTTAAACTTGTATTTTGATTGAAAATGAAATAACAAAAATATAACTTGAAACAATAAGGTGTCGGTTTGCTTGGTTTTGAGTTATCTGCTCTTACTTTTTTTATTCGCTTTATTCGCCTTTTAAACATAGAGTCATCCCAAAATTATACACCACCGATAATACTGTATTACTTAAGTTAAAGCGTTAACATTGTTTTTGTGATACTCTTATAGTTACTTATTGACGAAAGTATTTTCAAAAAAAAATTCCACTAACTTGTAAGTTTATATGTCATACTTTTCTTTTGATGTTCTTTTAGGAAACGTTTGTGCAATTTCTATTTACCCAAAACGAATAAGGGAGTTCTAGATCAGTAGTTTATTTTGTTTAAGCTTATTTTACCTGATTAAGTTGTGTCTCTATTGTGAAAAAAGTTGTAGGATCATTTCAGGCACTTTTAAGTTCGCTCCCTAGATGAAACAAGAAATATTGTACAGGCAAAGGTAGCACATAATCAATAAACATAAGAGAGATGGTAAATTCTTGGTGTGTTTGGTACTAAGATAATGTCTATTGTCTCGTAGTTATGCTGTGGTAAATAATTCATCAATAGGAAACATTGCGTGTGTCAGATATCATCATTTTATCAGTCACGCAACATTTAAGTGTAAGAAATGTGAAAATATGTGGCCTAAAGAACTACCAATATGTTCTGTACGTTTGATATCTCTCTAATTTCAAATGCATGAACAGTTTGAGAAAATAAAACACAATCTGAGAAAAGCACTATTTATATCACTTTTAACAAAATAACATTTATAAATTT